TTAATACAAAAAAAAAAAAAAGAATAAAAATACAGGTGACAGGAATATTCTTGTAAGCCAATATCCTTACTTGTAAGGGCTTAAAGTATTGGATTCTAAATTAATGACTTTTATTTTGTATGAAATTATTTCTTTCCCTTTGAAGGAAGAGTTGGAAAGTACAAAAATGTGGTTGAAAATCACCATCAGGGAACTCAAGGGCATAATGTTTAATAAGTATATTGTATAAAAGCTTTGCATATGATCTTCATTTTCAAATCTGTCCTAGTCTCACAGGCAGAAGTTCTTCACATGTAGGAACAACTGGAAATCATTATTTGAATGCAATTTAGTTATAATTCTACAAATAAAAGCAATTACATTATTCACTCTTGATTTCTATGAGATGGTAGTTGACTTGGTCTTTGCCCTCAACAACTATCAACTCATAAAAATCTTGAACTAATAATCACAATTTACAAATGTAACACAATGGGATGCAAACAAAGATGAGCATTTTGATCACTACACACCACTAACAAATCCTGCAAAAAAGAATGGGTACACTAGGAAAAATCCACAAACAATATTTATTACAACATTTCTGTATATAGTCATGTAAATGTTGCAAGTTCTAGAACACACACTGGGAGATGTGGTGGCCTTGTGGTTAGTGCACTTGACTCCGGACCAAGTGGTCTGGGTTCAAGCCCTGACAAGGGACATTGTGATGTGTTCTTGGGCAAGGCGCTTTACTCTCAAAGTGCCTCTCTCCATCCAGGTGTATAAATGGGTAGCAGCATATTTAATGCTGAGGGTAACCCTGCAATAGACTAGCATCCCATCCAGGGGGGAGTAGAAATACTCCTTATTGCTTCATGCCACAGAGAGGAGATAAATGCCAGCCTGATGGACCATCTGGCTCATATGCAGACTTAATGTTCTTACCTGTAACACATTCCTGCATATCATTCTCTAATGCATGATTATAAGAGGTCATGTGTGCAGCTAACATACCTTCAAAACTTGTTTGGTATCATCATTCAAGGAACCACTGCCTTCACCACTTAAATCATCAGCCATGCCATGAAAAACACTTGCACTTGATGGGTTATGAGGTGGTGCACTTGGACGAACACTTACTATGAGCTGAATATAACGATAAATAACTCATTTCACTACAATGTTCACTGAATTATTATACCCGAAATGGGTAACAAAAGTAGTTGACACATTTAGAACATTAACCGCTACTTCTCTTTTATATGTGTCTGGTCATGATTCTCTGAAACCATTCTCCCCTTCCGCCAGTTCATTATGGGTACTGGTGTGGTCTGTGCAGTTTCAGAGATTGAAAAACCAACAGCATTTGAAGTAAAGGTGGGAAATTTGTCTAAGACTGCATATAATAATTTTTGTCAAGCTTCATCTTAACACTTTTATTTTACCCATGTGCCTAAAATTAACTCATTTCAAAATTTGTCAGTAAAAATTTAGTCAGCAGACAGCTTGCCTGGGTTCTTGCCCATGGGGCAAGTGAGGAGAGAAAGTTGCTTACCCGAGAGGAAAATGTACTTGTCCCAGAAGAGCAGACGGGGCTTTTTTCAAGCCCTGGCTCTACAATCTCACATTTCTACATAATGAACTCTGGTTCTACTGCTCTCCAATCACACATTTTTACATAATGAACTCTACAGCTCTACTGCTCTACAATCACACATTTCTACATAATGAACTCTACAGTTCTACTGCTCTACAATCACACATTTCTACATAACGGACTCTACAGTTCTACTGCTCTACAATCACACATTTCTAGACAATGAACTCTATGGTTCTACTGCTCTGCAATCACACATTTGTACATAATGAACTCTACACTTCTACTGCTCTACAATCACACATTTTTAGATAGTGAACTCTATGGTTCTACTGCTCTACAATCACACATTTGTACATAATCAACTCTACCTTTCTATTGCTCAACAACCACATATTTCTACGTAATGAACTCTACGGCTCTACTGCTCTACAGTAACACATTTCTAGACACTGAACTCTATGGTTCTACTGCTCTACAATCACACATTTCTACATAACAAACTCTACAGTTCTACTGCTCTACAATCACACATTTCTACATAATGAACTCTACAGCTGCACTGCTCTACAATCACTCATTTCCACAAAATGAACTCTATGATTCTGCGGCTCTACAATCACACATTTCTAGATAATGGACTCAATGGCTCAACTGCTCTACAATCACAAAATAATTTCTAAATAATGAACTCTATGGCTCTACATTCTAACAGGGTATTTTCTTTAAGTTAACATTGATCAACTTACTCTGTGAAGGTTAAGCCAGTTACCATAAGGAGTTTAAGTAAACTATTAAGTGTTGGTACATTACCTTTGATCCATCCTTTACTGTTATTTTGTGACTAACTTTCTTTAGAGCGTCTGCAACTTTTCCTCCTTCTACAAAGAATGCTGCACTCTCTCCTCTGAAGTAGTGAAACTATAACAATGGCCTATCATTATTATTACATGTATTATTATAATACGTTTAATTCTATTACAAGCAATATTATAGTTACAGGTAGTTTTAATCCACCAATAACTTTTGTCATGCATAAAGAGTACAAGAGAGGCATGCATGGTATTTGCTGTTCAGTGACACGACCTTCATGTACATGTAGCTGGAACAGTAAACATTACTGAATACTTGACTTAACCAACTAATGAGCGCACACTGAACTCATCATGTCAAGATTTCAATATTGCAAGTACACAATCTGTCTTTCCCTAACCACATCTCACCAAGAATGGTGAGATCTTGCCAAGATCTCCCTACAATTTGGAAAGACATATGAATCTTGCTGAGATTGCTGACAGCACTACCTTCAAGAGATTCAGAAAGACACAAACTAGATTGGCAGAAATCTCTCCACGACTTTCAAGATGTCACTGTGATTCCATGGACTACTATAATGGCCTACCCCATAGGACTACTCTGTAACAGACTACCCCAAAACATTTCCAAATGAGTATCATTTAAAGTTCTAGGTTGCTACACTTTGCTTACTGTCATCCTGCACAGCCTCTGGCAAACTTCTATGAGTCTTGTTTGCCAGGGGGTGTAGGACACAGTTCACATGACAGTATTCAACCAAATCATATGCCGTCTTGGCCAGAGCAATTTTCGAGTTGCGAGTTGAGAGTAGGTTGTCATTTCTCGACCAATTTTTGCACTCATCATGAGAATCAAGCCAACCTTTTCTGGGAGCTGCTAGTGAAATATCTAGGCCAGTTACTTGCCAAGTCTCAGTTACAGATAAGCATTTTTTTGCATCAAAACTAGTAAATGGAAATCATGCTACGTTGAAAATGTTTGTTTAGCATCCGTGCTTGACATTGACATTATTTTGGTCATTTGTGGGGTAACAGGGATCAGTATTGTGGATTATTTTTGCATAAAACTTTGGTTTGGTAGTTGAACTCTAAGAAAAGTCCGGCAGGCCCAGGTGAGCCCCACCATTTTAATGGTTAAAATAGGACTTGATGTTGGGGCTTTTTCCTTGATTTGTCAGAAGTTTGCTGCATTTCATGGGAGTTGATGGCGTGATTTGTACCCTTGTTTTATTATGATAAGTGTATAATTTTGTGGCTTGGCTTTTTCCCTTTATATCTTATTGTTTTCTTGTTAATTTGCTTTTGCAGTGCTTATGTCATCCGTTTGTTTGGCCGATGTTCAAGATTTTTGGATCCTGCTTTGGACACTAGTCCATTAAACTAAGAAATCATCTCATTTACTATGAATTTTCACTATCATGATCACCGCCTGTCTTGAATCCTCTGTAAAGGGGGACATGGGGATTTGCGGTGTTGCGGCGTTTTTTCTAATGCATCGATGCAGTGAATAAAATCTCAACTTGCGGTGCTGCAGTGATCTCAAACTCTATGGTGTGTGATGTTTGCGTTTTTCACGCTGTGGTGTTCGGTGAAATGAAACTGTTTGCGGTGCTGTGGTTTTCTATTTACCTTTCTCAAACCTAAATTTGACCTATATTTAACATGTAAACTTCATTAATCCATGTTAATTATGACAAACACATACCATTGAGGTTAATGATTTGTAACAAAATACAGACCATCGCTTTCTAGTCAGTCTTCAATATGCTTCGGCTGCCAATTCAAAGCTGTTTTCATTTATATGTAACTTGACAAGTCACTTGTCCTCTGCCACCGAAGCTCAGTGTTCGGTAGAGACATGGAGGAGCAAGAACAGAAACAATCCTGGAAATTCTGGAAATGCCAAGGCTGAATATAATGTATTATTGACTGCGCAGCTTTTTTCTACGAAAAAAGGAAAAGGTGGCGAAAACTACTGGCCACAAAATATATTCAGATGTCGCATCAGCAGGGAAGAAAGAAGGCTTTCTAAGCTATGGAAGCTTTGTAAATTACATACGTTTACAATTTTTTTCCTTTTGCTATTCGGCTTTGTCTATAGGTCATTCTGATACCGGTTTACACTCCAAGGTCCTGTGACTTTCTCAACCTTCTATTTTTTCAAATGATTATCGATATCAAACACAAACGTAGCTAGCTCCAGAAAGCAATACTTTCAGTCAAGATATGGCTTCAGTCAGTGGGTTTAAACACCAAGAAAAGTGAGCGAAGTAAAAGAACAGAGGGATTTGGGGTAAAGGCCATCTCTAGAGGCTCCTCCCTTTTTTCTTCATCCACTTCCTAGCTAACCACTTTTAACCTTATCTAGGAGTAGATTTTTAGTCCTAGTTCCAGTTTTAAACCTTAGTTTTAGTATCACCTTTTTAGCTTTTATTACTTTTGTATTTTAAACATTTAATGAATATTCTAGACTTTAATTTTTTAGAGGACCCTCCTGAAAACCACCTCTAGGGGATTGGAGGCCTCCCCTTAAAATATTAGTTTATTATATTTATTATATTATTGTTAGCTTTGCGCAAGGTTTCTTCACAAGAGCAAGAAAACTGCTTTACAGGCATCAGCAGTATCGACAGATGCACAATGCAAAGCGTTGTGATGTGTTTATTTTGTGGAAAATTGTTGAGGTATAAAAGTATTATTTTAAGTGTAGATGAACGAATCGTGGCACTAAAAATATGTGTTGCGGTGACGGTGTTTCGTTGACTTTTCTTGCAGTGATGTGGTGTTCGTTAATTTTTTTTGCAGTGTTGCGGTGTTCAGACCCCCCCATGTACCCCTCTCTGTAGGAAAAAAGATGGCAACTGCTACATTTAGCCATAGTTCTTGGCGCAAGAAAACCGTAGCAACATTCATAAAAAACATACAGAAAAGTTATAAAATCTTCAAATCTAGCCTACATAATGTCCTTAGTACAGGAACAAATATTGTAAAAATTTGGTTTTCATTGTGCCATATAGGCTGTGTTAGGGTCACAAGGTATTGTTTTAATAGCTACTGCAAGTGTTCAATATGATGCATCTCTTTCACTTTTACTTAGTTCTGAATTCAGCTGGTTACAATCATTACAAGTTGACACAAGGAAGTACTGTGGAGACTGTTTTTGGGAAAATATTTAACATCCAATGTAGAAAATGTTAAAATCATTACATGATCATTGTGTTGTTGACCACAAGACTTGCAATGAATAATAAATTTTAAACTGACAATCATGCCTCAAATTACCTGCATAGCAATGTTCTGGGAAAACAGTTCCCTTTACACAAGTTACATTGAGCCTTAAAGTGCACCTAACCCCCAAAATTTTTTTCGCTAAAATAATAAAGTTTATTTTGTGGAGTAATCTACCGCAAAAATTTTTCGATTTGGTTAAATCTTTGATTTTCTATGACTCGTCAAAGTACATCAAAATGCCACCATTTTGGTTCACAACCGAGTTCAATGGGGCATGGTTCAAGGGCCGGATGCAACATCAAATCCAGAACACGGTGATTCTGTAAATTCGCATATTTACTTGTTTCTGTGGGGAAAGGCTGGGAAAGTAGTTCGAAAAAATGCTAGCCAGGTGCATTGTAGTGGGATGTAGCAACACAGCAAACGTACAGGAGGTACTCCACTTCATGCCATACCGTTTTATGGAGAGATGATCGTCCTGAAGAGAAGAAACGTACAAAGCAATGGATCGATTTCGTGAAAGCAAAACATGCAAAGTGAGAGCCATCTGAGTTTGGTGATCTGTTCTAAGCATTTCAAACAAGATGATTTCGCTCGACACCTGGATTTTCAGGGAGAGGAAGGGATTTTGCTGATTCCATGGCTTAAGCAAGATGAATTTGGAATAACTGCTTTTCCATCAATTCATACAGCTGTTGTTGCATCTGATCTGATAAACAGCAGCAGTCAGTCAGCACAGCCGACAGATACAGAAGAATGTTGAGATTTTTTTTTTTTGAGCAAATGTTCCCTGCCTTGATATGTTAGTTTCCTTCCTTGTTCAGTTCTTTGAAAAAGAAATCTGTCAGGGTATTTTGGGCAAGATTCAAATCCTTTCAAAGTCGTGCGAACAAGCACACTAGTTTGGAAGACCCACCGTTCGACAAATGCGGCCATGGAAACATTCAAGCAAGGAATGGCTTAGAATTAGTTTATATGTTCAGAACCCTTTTTAAATGTGGGTATTATCAATATACAGAGAACATACTTCAACCAGGANAGCTGTGATTGGTACATTTCGATCCTCCTATTGTTCCATTGTTCGGGCGAGTAGCTGTTCCCTCAGTGGTCCGCTGTTGTACCGTTCTCCTGTTGTTGTCTTTCTTGATCGTGGGTATCCATGCTTCGGGAATTTCAATTCCACTATCCCTGTTGATGTTGAAATGTCACGATCTACATCTCAGTGACTACATCATGAGACAAATGATAATACACTTTATTATTGCATCTACCATGATGAATAACAACAACCTTTTCCTCGACAGTAACATTATTGTTCGAGGATCACTAAAGCATTTTTGTAACAGTGAAACAGGACTAAACGGGTGTACACTAATCATAATTCACACTTGACCAACCAAAAATTGCAATAACATAACCAACCCCCTAGCTACCCCCCCTCTTACTCAGGAACTATACATGCAACTGATCGTTTCACAACTATAATTGTAAATTGGAAGAATCACTGTTAAGTAAAATGTTGTGTGCATGCATGTAAAGAGGGACTCGGAAACACTTTTTTATTTTATACAGCCATGTGCATGCCTGAATTACCTCTCTTTGCTGCCAGTTTGATGATAGGTTTGCTTCCCTTTAGTTTTGTATTTACGAAAGTATATTAATGTGAGATCGAAGAAGGCGCAAAGATAGTAAAGACACGCCACGCGCTACAGTCTTACTAGTATCACTCTTCAACTTCTACATATCATTGCCTTCGAGTCTGTCAATCAGAGCTCGTTCAAATTCTTTGTCAGCATCCACCTCCTGGTATTTGGCCGTCCCTTCTCCATTGGCCAGAGTAGTCAGCATACAAATCAGCTCGGTCATCACCGTTTG